GACTCATAGAACTGGTGGAGCGGCAGTGCTTCATGAATTATCACTCGACTATCGAGTGCAAAAGAAGGCGCGACGCGGGAAAAGCTAATGATTGAGCACCACAAGACAGTAAGAGCTCAAAGCGAGTTAAGTAGGACTAAAGAGAAGTACCCCTCCTTTTGTGGAAGTACGCCCCTCCGCCCCTCCGCCCCTACAAACAAGAACACAACAAGAAACTCTCGCTAATATTAATAAGCTGGAAAGCCCATGCTGGGACATACCCCCCGGGGCCTACATTAGTGGGAAGAAAAGTGTACATTCCCACAATACAGACAGCGAAGGAGAGCAACCTCCATATATAAAGGAGTCTGCCTTGACTCACAAGCAAAAAATGAGGCGAAATCACTGATCAGTTAAGCCAGCATAAGAGAACGAGAAAGTCTAGGAATACCGGTGTCCTAGGATGGGTAAGCCTGGAGACTTCTTTACCTGTACGGTATGGGGGTTTCAATTCCCTGATCAAGGTGCGGTATCTTGTGATATATCTGGCGAGGTTTGATTAGTTAGGGTTATTTACATAAAGTCTCCGTTCTTTCGGATCGTTGAACAAATTAGAACAATGGACTACTAGATAGCGAATAATAATGATGATACTCCCTTGTCTATTCCCGCTATAGCTAATGTACTACGACAGCGCCGTAATGGAAACAATTTTACGTAGTAGTATTTCCCTCTGGAGCTTACTGTTTTAAATTTCTTGGTGGATTATATACATGGAATATTTGATGACGAGCTCGAGAATCGACGAACTTAAGGCGCTGCCAACCCTAGGCCTGAGGTTGGTGGGCGAGTGCACTCCTTTGCACATGAACCTCATTCAAGATCTTATCAATCTAATAGATAATATTTATGGGAAAGTTAATATCTTAGAACCCACTCCAGCTCCCAGTCTGTCAACAGTAGTTTCGGTAGCGTTAAATAATGTGCCTGCCTAGTATCAGTAGGACGTTTGACATGGAGATGAGGTTAGCATCCTCCCGGGGCCTTATTTTATTTTTATTTATCCCTTAACGTGTTTCACCGGGAACGCAATCGTCACTGGGAAAGCAATCAAGCATGACATGAACGGGATCGCGAATTACTGTGAAAATTCAAAATCACCCAGAATTACAGAACTGAATACACTAAAGTCATTTTGAGATATCTTTCGAATATTTCTGATGATTGTTACTAATAGGTAGCGAGTATATAGCTGTGGGAGGGTCATCAAGGCTTGATGACAGCTGATGACCCTCCCACAGCTATATACTTGCTATGATCATAAGAAACAGTCAAAAACACCAAAAGAACTCTCCTATACATGTATGGCTTCATAGGTATTGTTTTGCTGCTCATAATGCCCTTCTGTGAGCTTCGGTTGCTTTCCCGGTGATGATCGCTTTCCCGGTGAAACACGTTAGCTGCGGGATATATAAATCGTAAATCGGACCTGCTCCCCGTAAAAAAATGTGTTCCTCGGCCAGAAGTACTTTTTGTTCTGTTATTTTAAAACATCGACGATCTCTCTGGCTCCATAATGGTACGGTAACTTGCACCGTGTTAACTCTCGCTTGACACGTTACATCCTAGCTCAATCAACGGTTAGGCCAGGAATAGGGTTAGGTTTGAGCGAAACATTTAAGTCCTTAAAGTACAGCGGCAGGTAATAATTGATGGAACACAGCGATACCTGTTTTGGTAAAACACCACCAACATTTGGTGTTTGTACTCTCAGGGCGTTCCATCACTTATTATCCCTTGGACGGATGAAAGTTGTCAAATTCGCGACCACACTCTTTCAGCTATCACTAGCCTAATATAGGAATTGTTGGAAATTCTTGATTGGTTCTGTTGTTGTTTCCAAACGTAAAAAGCAAGATAATTCCCTTACTAAGTGGTGCACGGTGTGGCACATTTGTTGCCAAGTGATTTGTCATGCATTTGTAAGCGCAGGGAAGGACAATCCCTTTGATAAAGGTGTCCGAAAAGGAAGATCAGTATAATTAGCTAGCTTTCCTGTTCATCAACCAATTATCTTGTTGCTTTTCGGTTTTCACAATAAAAAGAAGTTTCATTCATTCTACGTATTTTCATCTCGAATCGTCGTTGAGAAGAAAAGAAACAGAGAGTGAACACAATAAACCGGCCAACAACGGTCCAGGTCGCGAATTTGACAACTTTCATCCGTCCAAGGGATAGCCGTCGCTGTACCTACAGCTTACCCTCAAAAGAACCAGAAAATGCAAGTAACGGAAACAGGGATTATTTGTATGAGAGAACGACGCCACTCCATACAAATGATCCTTGCCTGAGCAACTGGTTCTTACGCTGGTAAGATTATTGTAGAAATATGGGAGGAGTCTATTGGCTTGCCCAGCCACAGAAACCCTGTTTTTAGACCCCTGTTTCTACAATAACTTTACCTCTCGCTGTAGCTACATAGTTGAGCTAGGGGTCACGGTATCACATGACTTGATCAGTTACCTGATTCTTGGCAGGGTTTAGTCAGATCATCGAGCCCATTCCAAGTAATACCGACTCATACACCAAATCGCCAAACCTAGGGATCTCAGAAAATATGGGTAACGACGGAGGAAGGTAAGACTTACCATGTGCTTGGTGCTGTTGGGTTGGAAAGCAGGCTGACACTATTACCTCTCAAGCATTCCTACACGACGCGAACTTGTCAAATCCCCTACTCGCCGCGCCACCCACTCTCAACTCCGTGATTCCAATGCACAAACTCAAGAATATCACTGGAGCACTTGCCCTCTCTCAAAGCGTCCGCTTGCCTCCCCCGTTGTCTCCGACTCGTCGGGGCGCCTCTATAATAAAGATTCTATTCTAGAATGGCTCCTACGTGGGACAGAGGCATTTGGTGACGGCGAAGAGGTATTAGACGGGCGGGTAAAGAGTTTAAGAGATGTACTAGAAATAAAATTCGACATCTCAAAGGAAGATGGTCAGGACAAGTGGGTTTGTCCAGTGTCGAGGAAAGGTCTCTTAGCTGGAGTCAGAGCGGTTTACCTGGTACCATGTGGGCACGCCTTTTTGGAGAGTGCGATCAAGGAGATTAAAGGAAATGAAGGCGTTTGTTTACAGGTTTACCTCCCCAAAATAATGATTCTATTCAAATCTAACCATGCCTGGGTGAACTAGTGTGGCACAGCATACGAGGCAGATAATGTCATTCCGATTAACCCCGTGTTGGACGAAGATGCCCAAAGTTTGAGAAACCGAATCAAAATTCTTTCCGAGAAGGGACTAGGACACACATTGAGAAAACTGTCCGATGGGAAATCGAAGAAGCGAAAAAAGGGGTTCAAAGAATCCGAGAAGCTACCCAAGAAAGAAGAAACCAGTATAAAGAACGCCGCAACAGCCAGCCTAACAAGCAAAGTACTGGAGGATGAGAAAATGAAAAATAAACGCAGAAAAACGGAGATGAGTGACAACTTGAGGAGTCTTTTCAGTACAAAGGAACAAGATGATGCTTCGGGAAGGAATGATTTCATGAGTAGAGGGTACACAATACCAACGAAAAGGTGAATACTATCAATACATATCTCTATGTGTATGCCTCTGAGTTGGTCTTTCGGGGTTTTAGGATTGTTTTCGGCTTCTTAATACTTTACCTGGGTACATACTTGTAATGATGGAAGATCAGTTGCGAGCTAGTACGCTAAACCTCAGGGCTGCTTAGTTATGGCTCTATAACGTCATAACGAACTTGCCAAGCATATATTATCAATCATGTCTAGCTATCGTGACGATATCTTTGGTATCCCATCGATCGTGGAATTCTAACTTTACACTTCCATTCTTTGGATTTTCCCTTCGTTCCCTAGTTCAAGTGACTTGATTTTGTGAATACCCACTGTTGAGGATTGTGGGAAGTGCGCCAAGAGCATATAAATCACTAAGTTTTCCACGGATTCTTTCACCTGGGCTTGGGTTGAATTGCAATTGGTGGCAAGGGTGCCGGGTGGTGGTAGCGGGGAAAAGTAAGTGGGTTTTTGTAATTGAGAAGTGAGATGTGATGTAGTAGAGAGTATTTGCCGGTTGTTAGTTTTCGAAAGTGACAATTTGCCGGTATTACTATCGGTAGCTGGAGTCGTGTTTTTAGAATTAAATTTAGAGTTATCAGTTCTTGTGTAAGTAGAAAGTGTAACGGAGCCATTTCAACTTTCTGGTGTATGAGTACACACAGGGCCCGGTTACATGCTGAGAGTTATTGTTAGAAGCCAGTTGCAAAGTGACATGGAAGTACCGACAGTGTGGTTAGCTGCCAGCTGTCAGAGTAACTACATTCTGAGCGCTAGAAAGAGGATCTACTCATGGGAGCAATGACTGACGAGTCTGTGCCTCGCCAATGATTAGAAGGCCAGCCAGAGTGAAGCTCTGAGTGCTCGGCAATCCCCTATATCCTCTGAGCATTGGAAGTCCGCCGGTAGTGGAAGGGACGATGCCTGGGAAGTCTACAATAAGCGAAAGCTCTACAGCAATTATTAAGCTTACACTTGAGCGGCAGCTCATTCATGCAGGCCCCAGTTGTGTGGCAACAAAGGCTGCAGGTGTTACAAAGGCTTTGACAAAGGGTGATTGCCTTCGGAACCGGAAGCACTCGGTGACGCTTAGAGAGGCGGGGTAGCGATGGTATCGCTTCCCTTCCGCTAGAAGGCAGCACCGGAACTTAGTAAGGAAGTAGGAGCAGAGAATAGAGTTCTTTGGAGTATAAGTACTCAGGATCATTCCCGCCCAACTGTCCTGATCCTCATCTTCATCTACAATCACCGGTAGCAGAGCCCTTAAAGCTTATTGAGTTCTAAGCGATAGTATCTTTGAATAAATCTGTACCTGATTTCTATCTTGCACGGCCGCATCTATTGTATTGGATTCTAGCGATACATAGAAGAGGTTGCCCCCGTGACAGATAATCTTTAGGGCTCAAATCACCTTCAGATTATTCTTCCTCCCACAACATGTCCGCCCTCCCTGCTCCCCAAGTGCCTCTTCAGATTGAATGGCAACCGGCAGCCTTAGGATTCCAGGAGGGTCAGACACAGTTGATCCACAACCCCAGGATGGCGCTCCAGTCATACATCCCCGAATGTGAGCCCACCTGGCAAGATACCGATAAAGTCACCCTACAGGACTTCTTTGCGGAGTTGCAGCGCTACCTCAAGCACAGCCTACAACAGGAAGTCATCAAGGCCGGCAATGCGCTAGCCTTGGTGCAAGAAAAACAAGAAGCTGAGGGAGTCCTGCTCCGGGATGCCTTTGGCTACATGCAAGAACAAGTCTCCTCAGTCCAGGCACAACTCCAGAGTTATGCTCAGAGAGATGACTTGGGAGCGGATGAGATGGAGGACATTGAGTGGACAAACCCGGCGATGCCCCCTAACTTCCTGGAAGACATCCAGAAAGCTATCAATGAAGGGAGGCTCTCCATCGCCAGAATGCCCACACCAGCACCGGTCCCCAACCCTGCACCTCCGCAGAACTCCAGGTCTTCGTCCAGAGCGACCCTGAGAACCTTTCACCAAAGGGTGAACTCCTTTGCAGCGTTTCCGGTCAGGTCTCGCAGGCAGAGAACTCTTCCCCTGATGATGCCAACGGCTATTGGAGGCTCACCTCTCCCTCCTCAGAGAGCCCCAGCAAGCCCTTTGGCAGGTGGCCTAGCCAGGCCCCCCCGACAGCCTATAGAAGACGATGACTACTACTCCCAGATACCGGTCAGGAGTGGTCCCTCTGGGCTTCCCCCAGCCTGGGTTCGCCAGGGGCTATTGTAACGGGGGCAGTCTGTCTATGTATCGCTAGAATCCAATAGAATAGATGCGGCCGTGCAAGATAGAAATCAGGTGCAGATTTATTCAAAGATACTATCGCTAGAACTCGATAATCTTTAAGGGCTCTGCTACCGATAATTCTAGGTCAAGATGAAGATGAGGATCCGGACAGTTGGGCGGGAAATGATCCTGAGTACTTATACTCCAAAGGATTCTATTCTCTGCTCCTACTTCCTTACTAAGTTCCAGTGCTGCCTTCTAGCGGAAGGGAAGCAATACCATCGCTACCCCGCTTCTCTCTAAGCGTCAGCGAGTGCTTCCAGTTCCGAAGGCAACCACCCTTAGTCAAAGCCTTTGTAACACCTGCAGCCTTTGTTGCCACACAACTGGGGCCTGCATGAATGAGTTGCCGCTCAGGTGTAAGCTTAATCATTGCTGTAGAGCTTCGCTTATTGTAGACTTCCCAGGCATAACCCCTTCCGTTACCGGCGGGCTTCCAATGCTCAGAGGATGTAGAGGATCGCCGAGCACTCAGAGCTTCCCTCTGGGTGGCCTTCTAATCATTGGCGAGGCACAGACTCGTCAGTCATTGCTCCCATGAGTAGATCCTTTTCCTAGCGCTCAGAATGTAGTTACTCTGACAGCTGGTAGCTAACCACTCTGCTGGTACTTGCATGTCACTGTGCAACTGGCTTCTAACAATAACTCTCAGCATGTAACCGGGCCCTGTGTGTACTCATACACCAGACAGTTGAAATGGCTCCGTTACAGCTATCCCCAGACTCCCACAGAGGCTCACCATCCCCGGAGTCATCTAGGAGGAATCTCCAGCCAGAAGGAAACCCTGGTGGAGAAAACCAGAACCCAGTACCAGCAGGTAATGGTGGACGAGATGGACTTGTCCCCTCGGTTGGTGGCGCTCCCAACCCAGGAGGGGACTCAGAAAGTTCAGACTCGGAGCCTGAGGATGGTGACAGGAGAGGATGGTGGAGATACCTCAGGAAGAAGTTAGAGAAGCAGCAGAAGGAGCTTCTGGCCTCCATGGCCCAGTTCATGAGACCTCCGGCCGCCTCGCACCCCTCCGCTGCCTCTAGGGCCGGAGAACGCAAGGCACCCCCTCCGGCCAAGTTCAATGGCAAAGCTGATAATGTGGGGACCTCCATCCGGCAATGTGAGAATGTCTTCTCCATTGAAAGCTAGTCCTTTACCTCCGAAGAGGTTAAGATCCGTTATGCTGGCAACCTGATGGAAAGAGATGCTCCGGTCAAGTGGTATGAAGCTTATCACAACTTCATTGACCAAGCTTCTGTCAACCGGATAGCTGGGATGCCTGTAGTGTTGGATGAGAGATGGAGGCGCTGGAATTCCTTTGTGGATGCTCTCAGAGTAGCCTTTGGCGAAGTCATCTCTAGGGATGATGCTGTAGCCCAATGGAACACCCTTACCCACACAGCCAAGGGATGTAACGGGGGTCTATGGACGTAGGGGCTATGATGCCAAGGAATACAACCGAGGCGAGGACGTGGCAATAGGTGCTCAAGACTATGGGCTATGGAATGGCTCTACCTAGTATAACAAACTAGTTGAACCCTATGATAAGGCGCAGAACAAAAGTAGTATTCATGGAGTAGATACAAATAAATAAATAAATAGTTTTATATTGCTTTGAAGTACAGGACTTATCGCACGCCGGATCCTCCGCCGAAAATATAGGAAAAACAAAACGAAAAACAGAAAAGAAAGGAAATGCAACGTAAGAAATCATGAGAAGATACAGAAAAGAGAGAGTAAACCAAAGAAACCGATCATCATTCCTCCGGGTTCTCCTCGTCCATTTCGTACCAATCGAGTAGGTTGGTTTTTGCTGCAAATTTTAGAATCAGGTCTACGTTGAGATTGGTGAATAGCCAGTTTTCCCAAGTGGGCGGCCCTGGAATTTTGTCCATGAGTGGCCTTCGTAGTTGTGTCCATCGTGGGCAGTCGATCATGGTGTGTTTGGAGGATTGTTCCGAGCCACATTGGCAGGGTTCAGGTTCCGTGAATGCTGCATATCTGTCTATCCTAGTAACTTGGCATCGTATGCGGTGTATGAGTTTTGCTTTGGATCGGAGAAGTTTTGCTCGCTTTGGTTGGATCTTTAGGGTTCCTGGTTCGTGGTAGTTGATGAGTGGGATAGAGTTCCATTCTTCCAGCATGCGTTTGGTGAGGGTATCGTTCTGTATCCATCGCTCTCTGTGGTTACCTGGTTCCTGAAAGGGTAGCATGAGTGATGCAATCCGATGTAGGCCTGTGCCTTTGATATTTTTTATTCTGATGGGGAGAAGCTGTATGAGTCCTTCGTTGAGTGGGTGGTCCGCAGGGTGGCAGAGGATGCGCGTCCCATACTTCCGTGATTTGTGGTTGAGGAGGTGTTCGAGTGGGGGGAGAGCTGCCTCTTTCAGTAGTTTTTCGGTTTTTGTCCAGCGGGGTAGGCCTGTTATTATCCTGTCGGCTTCATTGTAGAGTGGGGATAGTGATCGGAGGATGTGGTCGGCTCCTGTCCACCATGCCTACGATCCCCATAGGATGGTGGGGAGGAAACCTTGGACGATGAGGTGGTGGATGGATTTTACTGTTGATCCTGGGAGGTAAGCGATGTTTCTGATTCTGCTTAGGGCTTTAAGGCCTTTAGCGATGGTTTCTTCGATGTGTGGTCGGAAGGAGAGCGTTGAGTCCAGCCAGACTCCTACATATTTGAGTCTATCTTTGGGGTGGATTTCTTCTTTTGCGATTGTTACCAAGTTTTTGGGATCCGGGGTACTTGATGTTGTGGGTTTGAAGAAGACTAGGTCGGATTTTTGGGGTTCGTATTTGATGTTGAGGGGTTCTGCTTCCTTAATTCTTTCCTCCATTCTTTCGTTAAGTCTTTTGGTGATGAAGAGAGGGGACTTCGCAAGTTGGATGAGTGCGTCGTCGTCGATGTAGGTGGTGTTGATTTCTTTGGGAGAGTTGGTGGGGTCTGTTATTACCCTAGCATATATCATAAATAATACTGGGGATAGAGGGGATCCTTGGGGTAGTCCTGAGGTATATGGTCGTGGTGGTTCCAATTCGTGGTTAAATTGGAATTGAAGTGTTCGATTGGTGTTGAATTCCTTGCACCAGGTCGTCAGGTAAGTTGGGAATCTTTGTTGGGTCATGATATTGGCGAGTAGGAGGTGGTCGACACAGTTGAAGGCTCCTTGTATGTCATTTGTGAGGAGTGCTGATCTGTCTGGGGTGGTTCCTGTAGTTCGTTTGATCAGGAGATTCTGTTGGATGGGTGTGAGCGTGTGGAGTAAAGCATCGATCGCTGAGATAGTTGGTCTGCCTCCGAATTGGTCTTTACTGAGGGTTTCCAGGATGGTACCGGCGGTGCATAGTCTTGTTGCCACTATCTTTTCCAGTACTTTGCTGAAGCATTGTAGTAGAGAGATGGGTCGGTAGGCTTTGGCCGATGAGTAGTCGGATTTTCCTGGTTTCGGGATTGGTATACATTTCGACACTTTCCATCGATCCGGTTGGACTCCGTATCGGAGCATGGCTGAGAACATGTCCTGGAAGAGCTGGGTGTTCGCCTTGATTATTGCTTGTATGAATGGTTATGGGATGTTATCAGGACCAGTGGCTGAGTATGTTGGACATGATTTGATTGCGGATGTAATTTCTTCTGTTGTTACTTCCTGAAAATCGTCACTAAGGTCAAATGAGGGGGGTCTTATTTGGAGTGGGGGGTTGTTGGGGGACGTCCAATTTGTGGGGAAGAGTTGGGCTCTTAGAGCTTGGCACTTCCCCGCAAATGTTTCTTCACCTTGAATAGTTGGGATTGTGATGTCCCTTCTTTTCCCTTTGTTGACTAGTTTCCAGATGGCACTTCCCTTGGCCTCCGTGATTTCTTTCTCCCTTTGTTCCGCCTTGGTTTTGCGGATTGCTGCGGTCCACTTTCTGCTGATTTTCCTGAAAGCTTCTCTGTCTTCGTCTTTTTGGGTGTTTTTGGCTTTCCTTTCTAGTGTGTTGAGGGTTGATTTGAGTTTCTTCAGTTCTGGGGTCCACCATCTCTTGGATTTGAGGTGTCCTTGGCTCCACGGGGTGACTTGGTCTATTAAATTGTCTATGTGTTCGAGGATGAAGTCAACCGATTGTTTTGTGTGGTTCTGGCTTTCCCACGCTTCGGGGGGGAACTGGATGCCTGAGATGTTTTCTTCCAGTTTTCCCCAGTTCGTTCGGGGCCATAGTCTTCTGGGAGTGTGGGGGGGTTTCTCTATTCGTAGTTGTAGGATGGTTTTCCCATGGTCGGAACCTGCTCCATATCGGTCGATGTTCCAGCGGGTATCGTGGTCCAGTATTGGTCCTTTGACTAATATCAGGTCAATAATGGTCGGTCTGTTGTTGTTCCTGGGGAAATGTGTGAATTCGCCTGGTTCGTTGAGTAGGAATAACTTTTGTCGATCGATCCATCTTTTCAATTTCTTGGAACCGGATTTGTCTGTTCTAATCGTGTTGGTGTAGTCGTGGGATCTATGTCCATACCAGAGTTGGTGGTGGCAGTTGAAGTCTCCCATGACGAGGCAATTTTGGATGGTAGTTATTTGTCGGGATATTTCTGCAAAGGGTCCGCTTCGCCCTGGTGAGTATATGTTGAGGATTTGTGTTTTTTGGCTTTGGATTTCCACCGTGACGGAGACGATGAAGTTATTGTGTGTGTAATGGTGTTATGGTTTTAGGTTGGCGTGTTTTCTGATATATGTGGCGGCTTTGGTGCCCTTATTGCTGGCCGTGAATAGGTAGAAGAGGGGGGATTCCGGTGGGTGGCCGTCCTTGTTATTCCATGGTTCTTGTAACAAAAGAAAGAGTATGTTGTGGTCCTGTTCTGCTTCCTCCACTACTGACTTTGTTGTAAGCTCGTTTTTCGCGCAGTTCAGTTGCTGTGCGATAGCCGTGGTCCTTTTGGTGTGGCTCATTGGGTGTTATCCATGGCTGCATCTTCTTGTATGGGATCTTGGACCGGGATAACAATGGGTATTGGTAGCGGGCTTGGGTTTGTGTCTGGTCCCAGTTTGTTTGCAATGCGGATTTTAGTGCGTTCTGGGCAGTTGGCGTCTGTTGCTTTGTGAGGGGCCTTGCAGTGGTAGCATCGGATGGGTGTATGGATGCATCTGGTGCCTCCTGAGCATTCGGAGCATGGGTGTTCCTTTGTTTGGTGGTTTTCTGCGCAGTGTCCACATCTCCCGGTTTGGTGGGAGCATCTTTCATGTCGGTGGCCATATTCCAAACATTTAGAGCATTGGGTTTCTGGGTTGGCTGGGAGGTAGTTGTCGATTTTGCATTGTCGGTCGAATAAGGTGAGGTATTTTAGTCCGAGGTTATCCTTTGTGTATTGTCCTGGGAGTGCGATAATCATTGATGAGTGTGTTTTCCCCACCCTGGCTTCGGGTCTGCTGAGCCATCTGGGGATTTGTGCCATTTCGAAAGTGGTTCCGTAATTTCTTCTGATTTCTGAGGCCATGACTTGTCCCGCTTCGTAACCGTCTCCGATTGTTGTGGGGATTCCGTGTATGATGAATTTAGACCATCTGGAATTAACTCTGATGTCAACAAAAGGGACCTTGAGTTCTTTCAGGGCTGCTTCGATTTCTTGTTTATATTCGAAGACCTTCGAGGCGGGTGTGGCGAATTTAGTTTCTAGTACTATGTTGTTTTTTGAGGTTTTCCTGGCGGCGATAAACTGACAGTCCGGGTTTTCGATTTTGGAGTTGATTCTTGTCCTGATGTCAGAGGGGGTGACTGGTGATTCCTTATTCGTTTCGATGACGATCTCTCTGTTGATCTTGGTGACTTCTGGTTTGAATAGGGGGTCCGCCTTGGGTTTGGATTTCCTCTTGTTCGTGACTATGGTGTATTCGGGGTTGGCGTTGGCGTTTCCTGCTGCGATGGATGCGTAGGACTTGTGTGCTGGTGGGATTGGTGTCTCTTTGCCTTTTCCTTTTGATTGTTGGGCATGGTTCGGATTGTTGGCGTGGTTCATGTTGTTGGCGGGTGTGGTGATAGGAGCGATGGTGGCAGCGGCGACGGCGGCACTTGCGGATGCTCTTCCTTCATTGACTGCTTGGTTGCTAGGTCTGTTGACGGAGAGGTTGGTGAGCTGTTGTTGGAGACGGTGGAGTTTTTCGGAAGTTTTGTCTTGGTTCTTTGTCATTTCAAACATTTGTTTGGCCAGGACGTCGACGGTATGTTTAAGGATTTCGTTTTGGGTGGATAGGACTTCAATGGTAGCTTTTAGGTCCTTGTTGATCTGCTCGGTTGTTTGGTTGAGGGGTTCAAGTGCTACAGTGAGGGCATTTCTAATTACCCAGGAGACGTAGTTTATGTCCATTCTGGCTTGGGTTTCTTGAGGGACGATGCTGGGGTGGATGTAATCGTGCTTTGGTGCATATGGCTCGTTGTATTGGGTGTGTTCAGCGAAGATGGAGAAGGGTTCGTTGCCGAGCTGGGTTTGTTCGATGGTGGTGGACTGTGTTTGTTGGGTTGATTGGGTGTCGGGGAAGCGAGGGGGTGCCGGTGTTCCTGGTGGGGGGGCTCCTGCGAACCAGGAGCTCAAAGAGGCTTGTTGGGACATCACTGATGTTCCAGTTCAGGTTGGGTTGGGAAAGACTTCTGATAGGGTTCTCTTTCTGCCCGCGATGTTTGGTGGGTTGGGTGGGTTTGGTGAGGCCAGATTGTTGTTTTCGCTACGGTCGCGAGGCTTAGGCGGGGGTTGAGGGGTGGAGAGTTCCCAACTCAGGGACTAGAGCGTGAACAACTTCGCGTACGAACAGATGTGGGATAAGATACCAATAGATTACGGAGTCTATTGACATACAGGATCGTGTTCGAGTAAAAGTTTTATCGGGGATGCAGGCCAAAAGTTATTGTTGTTCGAAAGTTTTGGTGTTGCGAGGGGTAGATACAAAGGTTCCGTGGAGAGAAGAGGAAAAGAAGGGAAACATCAAAGGCACGAGACAACGCCCCCCTTATATATCCAACTCCTAGTCCGTTGATGACTAATACCCCGCGTAACGGAAACCGAAAGAACATAACAGAAAGCCCATTACAAATCATAGTTCAACCATGCAATACCTCCTCTTCACAATCCAATCTATTACCTTAGCCGAAATACAATAGTGCCGTTACAAGGGGGGAATAGACTCCTTCCTGAATAGCATTATTCAGCTGATTTGGAAGACTGGCTATGAGGGCCAGTTAGTGGATGATAAGATCCTTAGTTCCCTCCTTCCGGACCTAGGCATGAGTTGAGCTCTCTTTACCCCCAAGCCAAAGTCTCTGATGGAGCGGATAGTTGCTCTAAGAGAGCTAGGACATATCCAAGAGAGGTACCAGACGGTAGTAGCTGAGAAAACACCCGCAAGGAGCAAGAAAGATCCTCCTGCTGAAAAGAAACGGCATCCCAAGAGGAAGAGAGAAGCTGCAAGCTCCTCAAAACCTCAGAAGGAGGCAAGTTCCAAAGAGAAAGCGGTGGAACTGAAGGGTATCCCGGGGGATATTCTAGAAGAAAGAAGGAAAGCAGAAGTATGCTTGAAGGTATGACCTTCCGGTACTCCCTATTGGTAGAGTGCATAGACTGACTTGTGCAATAGTGCGGTGAGTCCAGACACAAATGGACTGATTGTTGGTCCAGGGAACCTACTGTAGTCCGAGTGGCACCAGTGAGGGTACAAAAGCGTAAAAGAGGAAATGCCAAGCCCAATCCTCAGAAGAAAGCTAAAGTGGCTGCTGTTGTAGCAGAGGAACCACTTGTTGTACTCCCAGAGGTTACAGGAGATTTCATTTTCCAGCCTGAGCAAGACTCGGACGATGAAATCATCTGGTAGAAAGTGTGTCTGTTTAGAGTCTATGTTTACTAGTTTTTGCTTTGGGTCTTGTTTCTTTGTTTCTCTTTAATAAATTATTGTGTTTTCCGCCTATTTGATTGTTTCCAAGCACTCTGAGGATGGGTTTATGACCCGAAACAGCTGGTCTGTAAGTGCTCTGTCAAAGTTACATTTTGCTACAAGACACTTCCAAACCGCTACCAGACTACCACACAAATACAATTGCTCTATCATCGCTTAGGAATAGAACCAAAGGATCTCTTGATCTTAGTAGTGCCCGCAGTTATTAGCAATGGAGAAAAGACAGAGAGAATCAAGCTCAGAACCCACACAGAAGCGAAGAAGGTTAGAAGAAAAGCTCCCATCCTTACCAGTACATGACAAGAGGCCGATACTGAAGGCAGGACTGTCATGGACGGTCAAGAACAAAGTTGAAGACGCCCAAGGGACATTCCTCTTTGACACCGGTTGTACAGGAGCAATCCTCAATCAGAGTTTTGTGAGGAAGTACGGAGTTCTCTTAGTGCGGCGAGATCAACCTCTGACAATATATTATGCTCAAGAAGATGTCATGATGGGCGGAGGTGAGTATTACACTCACCCAGTCCACATGAGCATGGGAGATCATAGGGAGACACTCCGATGGGAGGTGGCTACTTTGGAAGAAGGAATATCCGGTTACCTACCAGTTGCATGGGCAAGGAAGCATACCCCGGATATCAATTGGGAATTCAATACCATAAGCTGGCGAAGTGACTACTGCAAGCAGAATTCTCTCCCAGTGTAACGGGGGCAGCCTCTTCTATGTATCGCTAGAATCCAATAGAATAGATGTGGCCGTGCAAGATAGAAATCAGGTGCAGATTTATTCAAAGATACTATTGCTAGAACTCAATAATCTTTAAGGGCTCTGCTACAGATCGAGGGTAAGATGAAGATGAGGATCAGGACAGTTGGGCGGGAATGATCCTGGGTACTTATACCCCAAAGGACCCCACCCCTTGCTCCTACTTCCTTACTAAGTTCCGGTGCTGACTCCTAGCGGAAGGGAGGCAATACCATCGCTACCCCGCCTCTCTAAGCGTCACCGAGTGCTTCCGGCTCCGAAGGCAATCACCCTTAGTCAAAGCCTTTGTAACACCTGCAGTCTTTGTTGCCACACAACTGAGGCGTTCATGAATGAGCTGCCGCTCAGGTGTAAGCTTAATCATTGCTGTAGAGCTTTCGCTTATTGTAGACTTCTCAGGCATGGTCCCTTCCACTACCGGCGGACTTCCAATGTTCAGAGAATGTAGAGGATCGCCAAGCACTCAGAGCTTCACTCTGGCAGGCCTTCTAATCATTGGCGAGGCACAGACTCGTCAGTCATTGCTCCCATGAGTAGATCATCTTCCTAGCGCTCAGAATGTAGTTACTCTGACAGGTGGTAGCTAACCACACTACCGGTACTTGTATGTCACTGTGTAACTGGCTTCTATTAATAACTCTCAGCATGTAACCGGGCCCTGTGTGTACTCATACACCAGACAGTTGAAATGGCTCCGTTACAATAGATACCGGAGAAATTATGGATGAATCTCCTGTAAAAGTTTGCAAAGCCCATGAAAATTTGCACGTCCTTCACGGACCATAGCTTAACCCAATTCTTTATTGACATGACTTTATCCAAATCCATACTGATGCCACTGGATGTGAGGACGTATCCGAGGAACTCTATCTCCATTTGGTTGAAGAATGATTTCTTGGGGTTGGCTACCAGATTACTTTCTATGAGTCTCTGTAGAACCTTACCCACCAACTGCTCGTGTTCCTCTTGCGACTTGCTGTAGATTAGGATATCTTCCAGGTATACCACCACTTCCTGATGCAGGAACTCACTGAGGACATCGTTCATCATATTCTGAAAGGTGGCCGGGACGTTTGCCAAACCAAAAGGCATGACCAGATACTCGTAGCGTGCATACCTCGTACGGAACGCTGTTTTCCACTCGTCTCCTAGCTTGATCCTGATGAGGTTGTATCCTTCCTTCAGGTTGATCTTACTGAAGATAGCTGCGCCTACCACTCGGTCTCGCAACTTGCCCATCAATGGTAAAGGACACCTGTTTTTGATACTGACACGGTTAAGTCCACGGTAGTCAACACACAGTTGTAGGCTACAGTCCTTCTTCTTCACAAACAGGATAGGGGCTCCAGCCGGCGACTTACTCGGCCTGATCTTCCCTAGATGGATCATTTTCTCCAGGTATTCCATAATAGTTTTCAAGTCGAGCTCCGAAAGGGAATAGACGGGACCTCAACGGGGTTGCTTCCCCGGCTCCAGATCGATCGCATGGTTGTAGGGCCGGTGGGGTGGTAGTTTATCTGCTTCCGAGGGGAGGAAGACTCGAAAAAACTTGTGGTAGACCACTGGTACTCCATCCTGGAGGTCCATTCCTTCATCGGCTACAAACGCGATGTGCCCTAGGAACTGGGCCTTTAGATTGTTCGATATAGCCTCGCCCATTCCCCTTGCTCGGACAACTATCATTGGAGTATATTTCAAGCTCAAAGGGGCTAAAAATTAATTCCTAAGTGTCTTCCAACCCATCGGTTGTAATATATCTAAGTTAGTGCATTGCACTTCCTAGTCGGCTGCAGGCACCTGCCCAGCCGATTATCATTAGAGTGTATTTCAACTCTGAATGATCCAAAAAATAACGTATGGGTGTTTTCCAACCCATCGGTTCCACACTGTAAAAATTCCCGGAGAGTCCCGTCGGGTTGCCGTCCCAACTTTCCGGTTCCCAACCCTGGACACACCAATGAGATACAATTCACTCATTTCCTTTTGGCGAGTGCTTGAGGTAAAGGCTATGGGATGAGGCCCCTCGATCCTTACAGGTATCGAGAGGTTAAGAATCTTGCTCATACTGCTTTGCCAAATGTTGGAGTGACTCGGCGTCAATAGGTACTGCCGACAGGTGCAGAATTAGCTGATTCTCGCTTAACCTTTCAAATATCATTTTCCCAAAGAGTGAAGTGACTTGACACCCATAGGTACTGCCGATAGGTACAGGATTAGCCGACTCGCTTTATCTTTGAACCAAGAGGCCACCGTGGCATCAACTGTATTTGTGACAGGGTAATCTCAAGGGTTTATAGCTGGTGAGCTGAAAGGAGAGAATCCTCCTCCTTTTCTTCACAACAAACTAATAATCCCCTCACTTTTCTGTGATCAGTCTGAATCTACCCCATCATGTTTCTCTTTATCTTTCTCCTTGCGATAATAATTGCTATCAGGTCTTTCCTCCCCTTCTGCCTTGCTGTCCTCACGGAAGGATCCAAAGGTCGTGATCGGAGGGGTACTGTTAGAAGACGCCTTGTTTTTAAGGTGCAGGATATACGTGGTCAAGAAGCTATTCGCGTTCGATGCAGTAGAACACACCGATCAATACGGAAGTACGTGTCCACGGTGAATACTTTCCTTTCTTAACTCCTGCTGATTGCCTGAAATCCGTCGGTTGTTACCAAGGTGGAACCCCACCTCCGAAGGCTACCTTTTCCCCCTTTGCCCATCCTGGGTCGAGAAAACTACCGATCGTTTTGGGCCGCCAACCCAAACGCTCATGGCTCCGAGATCGTATGTCCAGATTTCAAAAAGGCTCTGAATACTGAGAAACAGGCGCAGATTGATTGGATGTAGACTCGGTTAGCAACTGAGTCGAACCCCGCCAATAAAGAGTGGCTCCGGCAAAGGCTAGCTAATGAGCAGAACTCAGAAGCACAAAGGATACTCGAACTATCTCAGCTGGAAACCCCGAGGATTCAAGATCCGTACCGCTGGTTGCCTCCAAAACTTAATTCCCGTCATACCCGCAATTATTCAAACGTTTCTTGGGGTCGGGAATGTGCTGCTTCCTGTAACGGGGGCAGTCTGTCTATGTATCGCTAGAATCCAATAGAATAGATGCGGCCGTGCAAGATAGAAATCAGGTGCAGATTTATTCAAAGATACTATCGCTAGAACTCGATAATCTTTAAGGGCTCTGCTACCGATAATTCTAGGTCAAGATGAAGATGAGGATCCGGACAGTTGGGCGGGAAATGATCCTGAGTACTTATACTCCAAAGGATTCTATTCTCTGCTCCTACTTCCTTACTAAGTTCCAGTACTGCCTTCTAGCGGAAGGGAAGCAATACCATCGCTACCCCGCTTCTCTCTAAGCGTCAGCGAGTGCTTCCAGTTCCGAAGGCAACCACCCTTAGTCAAAGCCTTTGTAACACCTGCAGCCTTTGTTGCCACACAACTGGGGCCTGCATGAATGAGTTGCCGCTCAGGTGTAAGCTTAATCATTGCTGTAGAGCTTCGCTTATTGTAGACTTCCCAGGCATAACCCCTTCTGTTACCGGCGGACTTCCAATGCTCAGAGGATGTAGAGGATCGCCGAGCACTCAGAGCTTCCCTCTGGCTGGCCTTCTAATCATTGGCGAGGCACAGACTCGTCAGTCATTGCTCCCATGAGTAGATCCCTTTCCTAGCGCTCAGAATGTAGTTACTCTGACAGCTGGTAGCTAACCACTCTGCTGGTACTTGCATGTCACTGTGCAACTGGCTTCTAACAATAACTCTCAGCATGTAACCGGGCCCTGTGTGTACTCATACACCAGACAGTTGAAATGGCTCCGTTACACTTCCTGAGCCCGTTGTACCCGATGTCAAATACCGGTATCTCCATTCAGGTAATGTGGTATAACCTCCGCAGGTTATAAACATCCAAGTGATCGTGAGCGTCACCACTCCCCAAGCCTATCTGGCCGCTATTACTGTAACCTTCCAGCTCGGAGCAAAACTGGGCGCTATAACCCTTCGAGGTGCTGTTCGGAAGTTGTCCGGAGGTATAAACTTCTCCTCCCTAGTCAAAACAGTTTCCTTGCTAACTAACTTGTTCCGCAGGTTCGTCTTCGATAATGTCTCGTATGCCAAGAGGAATACCGCTAGGATTGGGGAGGTGACCGACATGTATATTGTTTATAGACAATTCCAAATCTCTTTTTGAACTTCTCATGTGACTTTTAACTCTAGGTTAAAAATACAGTAAAAGTATTGTTATGGTCACTAGTAGACCGTCGACCGGAGCTCCCCTCAACTTCGTGGCCGTCCACAATTGATTTCCTTGGTCGGGTTCAGGTAGGCGTCCTGCCTTGACGAATGGATTTTAGGTAGGGTAATCGTCACACTAGAAGTAAAAAGTATGAAATGCGCAATGGGATACTGCTGAAGATACAATAATCCCCTAAACAATTCTCTTGATTATTGTGACCGAGGTCTAACCAAAGTTATACTTTTAAGACTCTGATTTCGCCGATGATTCCAGCTAGTCAGGGAATGGCTCGGTACTTATACCCCTCGCCATAGCCATGAGGCCTATCTAGTACAGGGTAGGCCTACATCCTAATAGACTGCTGATAAATGAGATCGTCTAAGTCCACCAACAGATAGCTGGAGTACTTCTTCTCCTTGTGTTCCTCACTCACCCGTTGACATGAGTGCTTGAATCCGGCTCAGAACCCCTACTGGTAGGCTTAGTGTACTTAACTACTACCCCGCATTTCCTCGTGTCGTCTTACCATAGGGAGGATATTTAACACGTGCGTTGGTGGTACTCTTTCTGATCGCTATGCTTCAGCCCTTAATGTCGATCTGAACCTCTATCTAATTGCATCGTCTCTTCCCTCAAAGGTCCTGTGGGGCCAAAAGGGAGTGTTCCGGCGGTTTGATGCTCCAGGGGTTAAATCAGCGGTCGAAAACATGTTTTTTAAGGTGGGGAACCGCAACTCCGCAATATGGGCGAATACTGGCCACACTGTACTTCGAAGGTGCGGCCAGCAGTCGATGGTGCATTGTACAAGTAGTTCCACCATTCCTACTCTTATCACCTCTCAATATACCCCTAACAGTTCTACGAGTGTTTTGAAGGCTTCTCTATATCCATCAGCTTGAAATGAACAGAGAAATTCCCTTCTCTAAGCTTATGCCTCGCGATGGCTCCTGGGTGGGCTGTTCATGCTGATGACTTATAGAGTCCGACTTGTGTTTCAGAGGAACTACCCGGCGTGAAGCTTAGGCAGCACTTGGGCCTCACCCAAGTCCCCATGGCTCTGCTTGAGAGCATTCTAAAGACTAGAGAAATCGGATAGTTGGGCGGGAAGGATCCTGAGTACTTACACTCCCAAAAGGATTCTGTTCCGCTGCTCCTGCTTCCTTACTAAGTTCCGGTGTTGCCTTCTAGTGGAAAAGAAGCAATACCACCACTACCCCGCTTGTCTCTAAGCGTTAGCGGGTACTTCCGGTTCCGAAGGCAACTACCCTTGGTCAAAGCCTTTGTGACACCTGCTGTCTTGGCTGTCGCACAACCGGGACCTGCATGAATGAGCTACCGCTCAGGTGTAGGCTTAATCGTTGCTGTAGAGCTCTTCGCTTATTGTAGACTTTCCCAGGCATAGTCCTTGCCACTACCGATGGACTTATCATGCTCAGAGGATGCAGAGGATCGCAGAGCACTCAGAGCTTCCCTCTGGCTGGCCTTCTAGTCATTGGCAAGGCATAGATTTGTCAGTCATTACTCCCATGAATAAATCCTCTTCCTAACGCTCAGAATGTAGTTGCTCTGACAGCTGGTAGCTAACCACACTGCCGGTACTTGTATGTCACTGGGCAACTGGCTTCTGACAATAGCTCTCAGCATGTAACCGGGCCCTGTGTGTACTCATACATCAGACAGTTGAAATGGCTCCGTTACACAACTACTCCTTCATGCAGTAGTTCCTTCAGCACATCATTGATCATTGCCTGGAAGGCGGAAGGGGCGTTGGATAGACCAAACGGCATCACATTGTATTGATACAATCCATAGCAGGTTCTGAAAGCGGTTTTCCACTCATGACCTTCTGCTATCCTGATCAAATTGAAGCCATTCTTCAGGTCTATCTTTGTGAAGATCTTCGCCTTGAACAACCTATCCCTGAGCTCGCTCATGATAGGCAGCGGGTACTTGTCCTTGACAGTGACCTTGTTCAAACCTCTGTAGTCAACACAAATTCGCCATCTCCCATCCTTCTTAGGTATGAACAATATGGGTACCGCTGCTGGGCTGTAACGGGGGTGCTAGGATGATACACGACCGTGACTTCGATCTGACATAGAAAGGGTAAACGGCAACGATGGATTCATTGGGCTCGTTCGATCGAAAGATGGAGTTTATTTGTTTGATCGTATTTGTAGTCTAAAAACTTAATAACTTTAAGGTGTCTCCTCGCTAGTAAAGAATCCATGACTCCCCGAGTTCAAACTGGGGGCCACCGAGTACTTTTATCGAAGTTCCGACCCTTTTTTCCCGCTTTTTCTCCCTAGACCGTTCGTTTTCCCCCTAGTCCGGGGACACCGCGACTTTTTCTATGAGGGGCGAGAGGAGTTGCTGCCACACCTCGGACGAACTTCCGCCCGAGTCAAATCACGCAATCTCTGCCAAGAGCTGGTCGGGATCCTAAGAACTAGCGGAAACAACCGACCAGATAGCAATTGCTTATTCAATTTGTTTTAGAACAGATTTGGTGTTTTGTAAAGCGAGGTTTGCTTTTAGTAGCTTGGGTCGTACTCCTACTCCCCCTCAAAGGTGCTCCGGGCTGAAACAGGAGGGTTCCGGCGGTTCGACGCTCCGGGGGTTATTTTTGGGGTCTAAAACGTGTTTATTTTGCAGTGTTTCCTCAACTCCGCAATCCGTTCATTCAACCACCCCAAATGGACCGGAGCATCGTCAGGATCCTTTCTGACGTGGTAAAGAATATTTTCTGGGCATCGGTTGCAAAGTTATTGTGCCTCAAAGGTTGACTGCCAAGGTAGGGTAACTTATGTTTGGGGTTACCCTTCTTTTATTTGGCATGCTCGTCCTTCTGCTCTAGTTTTGGTCCAGTCGCCTAGCTTGACTTATAAGACTTCTTGCTCGCCAGGATCCCTACCCTTCATACCAATAGAGGTAGGGGTCATCTGCCCTTATCTTCACCCATCGATGAAGAACAAGCAGTGATTACCCTAGGGTCGTATGGCTTGACTGGTAGAACAGGTACTTTTGTAACAGCCCTACTGTGGCTCTGTTACACCACTTCCCATCGGAGTGTCTCCTTGTGATCTCCCATACTCATGTGGACTGTAACAGAGCCACAGTAGGGCTGTCACAAAAGTACCTGTTCTACCAGTCAAGCCATATGGCCCTAGGGTAACCGCAGCTTGTTCTTCATCGATGGGTGAAGACAAGGGCAGATGAGCCCTACCTCTATTGGTATAGAGGATAGGGATCCTGGCGAGCAAGAAGTCATACAAGTCAAGCTAGGCAACTGGACCAAAACTAGAGCAGAAGGACGAGCATGCCAAATAAGGAAGGGTAACCCCAAACATAAGTTATCCTACCTTGGCAGTCAACCTTTGAGGCACAATAACTTTGCAACCGATGCCCAGAAAATATTCTTTACCACGTCAGAAAGGATCCTGACGATGCTCCGGTCTATTTGGGGTGGTTGAATGAACGCATTGCGGAGTTGAGGAAACACTGCAAAATAAACACATTTTAGACACACAAAAATAACCCCTGGAGCGTCGAACCGCCGGAACCCTGCTGTTTCAGCCCGGTGCACCTTTGGGGGGGAAGTAAAAGTACGACACAAGCTACCAAAGCAAACCTCGCTTTACAAAAACACCAAATCTATTCTAAATACTCTGAATAAGCAATTGCTGTCTGTTCAGCTGTTTCCGCTAGTTTCTAGGATCCCGTCCCGTTCTTGTCAGAGATTGCGTGATTTGACTCAGACGAAAATTCATCCGCGGTGTGGTAGCAGCTCTTCTCGCCCCCCTCATAGAAAATAGTCGCGGTGTCCCCGACTATGGAGAGGCGGACGGCCAGGGAGAAAGAGAGCCTGAACAAGGGCGCGGAACTTCCATAAAAGAACTCGGTTGCCACAGGTTGGCCTCGGGGGGTCAGGGAATCTTTACTAGCGAGGAGACACCCTAAAGTTATTAAGTTTCTAGACTACAAATAACGATCAAACAAATAAACTCTATCCTTCCATCAAACGAGCCCAATCATAACTCGTCGTTCCTGTTTTACCATTTCTACCTGATCGAAGTCACGATCATGCACCATCATAGCACCCCCGTTAAAATAGCGGGTTCTGAAAGCCGTTTTCCACTCGTGACCCTCTGCTATCCTGATCAAATTTAAGCCATTCTTTAGGTCTATCTTCGTGAAGATCTTGGCCTTGAACAACTTATCCCTGAGTTTACTCATGATACGCAGCGGGTATTTGTCTTTGACAGTGACCTTGTTCAACCCTCTGTAATCGATGCAGGTTCGCCATGTCCCATCCTTCTTGGGTATGAACAATATGGGTGCCGCTGCTGGGCTGCTAGATCTGGAGATCTTCCCCACAGACAACTCTTTGTCTAGGTACTGTCCGAGGGCCTTCAGCTCTGGAGCGGAACATGGGTATAGCGGGCCAAATGGGGGAGCGGTATCAGGCAAGTGGTTGATCTTGAGATCATTTCGGGAGTGAGGAGGCAGCTCTTGTAGCTTCCCTTGACTGAATATATCAGCCCATTCCCTATAGCGGAGAGGTATTCTTTCAACGATATCTCCTCCATCCTCATCACGCCATACCGAAGCGGCTAGTTGATACACTAAATCTTCTTCTTCCATCATTTGGTATGACGATATGAGTTCAAACTTGATCGCTGCTGGGTGACAATTCTGCTTGCAGTAGTCACTTCACCAGCTCATGGTGTTGAGTTCCCAATTGATATCCAGGTTATGCTTCCTTGCACAAGCAATCGCCAGAGAGCCGGATATTCCTTCTTCCAGAGTAGCCAATTCCCAACGGAGTGTCTCCCTACGATCTCCCATGCTCATGTGGACTGTGTTAGTGTAATACTCTCCTCCTCCCATCATGATATCTCCTTGAGCATCATACATTGTCAGAGGTTGATCTTGCCACACTAAGGGAACCCCATGCTTCCTGACAAAACTCTGGTTGAGGATTGCTCCTGTACAACTGGTGTCAAAGAGGAATGTCCCTTGGACGTCTTCAACTTTGCCGTTGACTGTCCATGACAGTCCTGCTTTCAGTATTGGCATCTTGCCATGTACTGGTAAGGATGAAAGCCTTTCTTCCAACCTTCTTCGCTTCTGAGCCGGTTCTGAGCTTGATTCTCTTTGTTTTTTCTCCATTGCTAATAGCTGCGGGCACTACTAAGATCAGCAGATCCTTTGGTTCTATTCCCAAGCGTGGATATAGCAAAATGTGTTGTGTGGTAGTTTGGTGGCGGTCTAAAGTGTCTTGTTGGAAAATGTAGCTTTGGCAGAGCACTTACAGACCAGCTGTTTCGGGTCATAAACCCATCCTCAGAGTACTTGGAAACATTCAAATAGGTGGAAAATACAATCAAAATTTAGGTAAGAGAAACAAAGCAACCGAGACCGAGAAGAAATCTTGTAAACATAGACTCTAAACAGACACACTTTCTACCGGATGATTTCATTGTCCGAGTCTTGCTCAGGGTGAAATACGAAATCTTCTGTAACTGTAACGGAGCCATTTCAACTGTCTGGTGTATGAGTACACACAGGGCCCGGTTACATGCTGAGAGTTATTGTTAGAAGCCAGTTGCACAGTGACATGCAAGTACCGGCAGTGTGGTTAGCTACCAACTGTCAGAGTAACTACATTCTGAGCGCTAGGAAGAGGATCTACTCATGGGAGCAATGACTGACGAGTCTGTGCCTCGCCAATGATTAGAAGGCTAGCCAGAGTGAAGCTCTGAGTGCTCAGCGATCCTCCACATCCTCTGAGCATTGGAAGTCCGCCAGTAGTGGAAGAGACTATGCCTGGGAAGTCTACAATAAGCGGAAGCTCTACAGCAATGATTAAGCTTACACCTGAGCGGCAGCTCATTCATGCAGGCCCCTAGTTGTGTGGCAACAAAGGCTGCAGGTGTTACAAAGGCTTTGACTAAGGGTGGTTGCCTTCGGAATCGGAAGCACTCGCTGACGCTTAGAGAGAAGCGGGGTAGCGATGGTATTGCTTCCCTTCCACCAGGAGGCAGCACCGGAACTTAGTAAGGAAGTAGGAGCAGAGAATAGAATCCTTTGGAGTATAAGTACTCAGGATCATTTCCCGCCCAACTGTCCGGATCCTCATCTTCGAGTAGACCATTATCGGTAGCAGAGCCCTTAAAGATTATTGAGTTCTAGCGATAGTATCTTTGAATAAATCTGCACCTGATTTCTATCTTGCACGGCCGCATCTATTCTATTGGATTCTAGCGATACATAGATAGGCTGCCCCCGTTACAGATAATCTTTAGTGCTCAAATCACCTTCAGATTATTCTTTCCTCTCACAACATGTCCGCCCTCCCGGCTCCCCAAGCGCCTCTTCAGATTGAATGGCAACCGGCAGCTTTAGAATTCCAAGAGGGACAGACACAGTTGATCCACAAGCCCAGGACGGCGCTCCAGTCCTACATCCCCGGATGTGAGCCCACCTGGCAAGATACCGACGAAGTCACCCTACAGGACTTCTTTGAGGAATTGCAGCGCTACCTGAAGCACAGCCTGCAACAGGAAGTCATCAAGGCCGGCAATGCGCTAGCCTTGGTGCAAGAAAGACAAGAAGCTGAGGCAGTCCTGCTCCGGAATGCCTTCGGCTATATGCAAGAACAAGTCTCCTCAGTCCAGGCACAACTCCAGAGTTATGCTCAGAGAGATGACTTAGGAGCGGATGAGATGGAGGACATTGAATGGACAAACCCGGCGATGCCCCCTAACTTCCTGGAAGACATCCAGAGAGCCATTAATGAAGGAAGGCTCTCCATCGCCAGGATGCCTACACGAGCACCTGTCCCCAATCCCGCACCTCCGCAAAACTCCAGGGCCTCATCCAGAGCGGCCCTGAGAACCTTCCACCAAAGGGTGAACCCCTTTGCAGCGTTTCCAGTCAGGTCTATCAGGCAGAGGACACTTCCCCTGATGATGCCAGCGGCCATTGGAGGCTCATCTTTACCTCCTCAGAGAGCCCCATCAAGCCCGTTGGCAGGCGGCCTAGCAAGGCCCCCCCGACAACCTATAGGAGACGACGATTACTACTCCCAGACACCGGTCAGGAGTGGTCCCTCCGGGCTCCCTCCAGCCTGGGTTCGCCAGGGGTTATCCCCAGAATCCCACAGAGGCTCACCACCCCCGGAGTCACCTAGGAGGAACCTCCAGCCAGAAGGAAACCCTGGTGGAGAAAACCAGAACCCAGAACCAGCGGGTAATGGTGGAGGAGATGGACTTGTCCCCTCGGTTGGTGGCGCTCCCAACCCAGGAGGGGACTCAGAAAGTTCAGACTCGGAGCCTGAGGATGGTGACAGGAGAGGATGGCGAAGGTACCTCAGGAAGAGGTTGGAGAGGCAACAGAAAGAACTCCTGGCCTCCATGGCACAGTTCATGAGACCTCCGGCCCCCTCCCACCCCTCCACTGCCTCTAGGGCCCGAGAACCCAAAGCACCCCCTCCGGCCAAGTTCAATGGCAAAGCAGATAACGTGGAGACCTTCATCCGGCAATGTGAGAACGTCTTCTCCATTGAGGGCCAGTCCTTTACCTCTGAAGAGGTCAGGATCCGATATGCTGGCAACCTGATGGAAGGAGATGCTCCGGTCAAGTGGTATGAAGCTTACCACAGCTCTATCGACCAAGCTTCTGCCAACCGGGTAGCTGGGATGCCTGTGGTGTTGGATGAGAGATGGAAGCGCTGGGATTCCTTTGTGGATGCTCTCAGAGCAGCCTTTGGTGAAGCCATCTCTAGGGATGATGCGGTAGCCCAATGGAACACCCTTACCCACACAGCTAAGGGAGGAATAGACTCCTTCCTGAATAGCATTATTCAGCTGATGTGGAAGACTGGCTACGAGGGTCAGTTAGTGGATGATAAGATCCTTAGTTCCCTCCTTCCGGACCTAGGCATGAGTTGGGCTCTCTTTACCCCCAAGCCCAAGTCCTTGATGGAGCGGATAGCTGCTCTAAGAGAGCTAGGACACACCCATGAGAGGTACCAGACGGTAGCCGCTGAGAAAGCACCCGCCAGGACCAAGAGAGATCCCCCTGCTGAGAAGGAACGGCATCCCAAGAGGAAGAGAGAAGCTGCAAGCTCCTCCAAACCTCAGAAGGAAACCAGTTCCAAGGACAAAGCGGTGGAGCTGAAGGGTATCCCGGGGGATATCCTAGAAGAAAGAAGGAAAGCAGAAGTATGCTTGAAGGTATGACCTTCCGGTACTCCCTATTGGTAGAGTACATAGACTGACTTGTGCAATAGTGCGGCAAGTCCAGACACAAATGGACCGACTGTTGGTCCAGGGAACCTACTGTAGTCCGAGTGGCAGCAGTGAGGGTACAAAAGCGGAAACGAGGAAATGGCAAGACCAATCCTCAGAAGAAAGCTAAAGTGGCTGCGGTTGTAGCAGAGGAACCACTTGTTGTACTCCCAGAGGTGACAGAAGATTTCGTCTTTCAGCCTGAGCAAGACTCGGACAATGAAATCATCTGGTAGAAATGTCTGTTTAGAGTCTATGTTTACTAGTTTTCTTTTGGGTCTCGATTTCTTTGTTTCTCTTGAATAAATTTTTGTGTTTTTCGCCTATTTGATTGTTTCCAAGCACTCTGAGGATGGGTTTATGACCCGAAACAGCTGGTCTGTAAGTGCTCTGCCAAAGTTACATTTGCTACAAGACACTTCCAGCCGCTACCAGACTTCCACACAATACACTTGCTATATTATTGCTTGGGAATAGAACCAAAGGATCTTTTGATCTTAGTAGTGCCCGCAGCTATTAGCAATGGAGAAAAGACAAAGAGAATCAAGCCCAGAACCCGCACAGAAGCGAAGAAGAATGGAACAGAAGCTTCCATCCTTACCAGTACATGGCAAGAGGCCAATACTGAAAGCAGAACTGTCATGGACGGTCAAGAACAAAGTTGAAGACGCCCAAGGGACATTCCTCTTTGACACCGGTTGTACAGGAGCAATCCTCAACCAGAGTTTTGTCAGGAAGCATGGAGTTCCCTTAGTGCGGCGAGATCAACCTCTGACAATGTATGATGCTCAAGGAGATGTCATGATGGGCGGAGGAGAGTATTACACTCACCCAGTCCACATGAACATGGGAGATCATAAGGAGACACTCCGATGGGAAGTGGCTACTTTGGAAGAAGGAATATCAGGTTACCTGCCAATTGCATGGGCAAGGAAGCACAACCCGGATATCAATTGGGAACTCAATACCATAAGCTGGCGAAGTGACTACTGCAAGCAGAACTGTCTCCCAGCAGCGATCAAGTTTGAACTCATCTCTTCATACCAACTGATGGAAGAAAAAGATGTAGTGTATCAACTGGCCGCTTCAGTATGGCATGATGAGGATGGAGGAGATATCTCTGAAAGAATACCTCTCCGCTATAGGGAATGGGCCGACGTATTCAGTCAAGAGAAGATACAGGAGCTGCCTCCACACTCCCGAAATGATCTGAAGATCAACCTCTTGCCTGGTACCGCTCCCCCATTTGGCCCACTATACCCATGTTCCGCTCCAGAGCTGAAAGCCCTCCGAGAGTACCTGGACAAAGAGTTGTCTTTAGGAAAGATCTCTAGATCTAGCAGCCCAGCAGCGGCGCCCATATTGTTCATACCTAAGAAGGATGGGACATGGCGAATTTGTGTTGATTACAGAGGGTTGAACAAGGTCACTGTCAAGGACAAGTATCCGCTGCCTATCATGAGTGAGCTCAGGGATAGGTTGTTCAAAGCCAAGATCTTCACATAGATAGACCTGAAGAATGGCTTCAACTTGATCAGGATAGCAGAAGGTCATGAGTGGAAAACCGCTTTCAGAACCCGCTATGGACTGTATCAGTACAATGTGATGCCATTCGGTCTATGCAACGCCCCTTCCGCCTTCCAGGCAATGATCAATGATGTGCTAAAGGAACTACTGGATGAAGGAGTGGTTGTCTATCGACGACATCCTCATCTACTCAGAGACTGAGGAAGAGCATGAAAGGCTGGTTGAGAAGGTTCTACAGAAGCTCAGAGAAGCAAAACTGTGTGCCTCCATCAGCAAGACATCCTTCCATGTCCGAGAAGTAGAATATCTTGGCTACCACATCTCGGAAAGGGGAGTATCTATGTCGGAGGA